AGCCGCACTGCCGGTTTTGGATCAAATTTTAGGATTTTCAGTGCGGCTTATAGTTGTGAAAATACGGTAGTTATTTTTAGGAAATGGAGCTCTAGGTATTTTGCAACAGGAGATTTTATATATATGGAAAACTAAAATTGGCTCACTACTAATTACTAAGAGAAAATTTTAAATGGAGTTGTGTCTCCCTGGTTTCTTGAGTATAAGAGGACTAGCTGAATACCCATGCTCCGCTATGAAATTTGATAAATTGACACTTACGGCTTGAAAATTAATGAGTAGTTACATCAATATCTCCTCTCCCTTTCTCTCCCTCAGGCTTGTCCCACAGAATCCTCCCCTATCTTATCTCCTTCTCTCCTTCAGGCCCCTCTCCAAACTCCCAACCAGAAGGCCAGATGAGTCACACGCTGGCCACACCCATGTCCAAGTTTTCAGGTTGGGAGTAGAATGTCTAACTCCTTAACATCAGAGGGTGCTAATAATAATATATGAAATACTAATGCTTTGATGGTCATTGAAAAATCCTTTGTTACCGAGCACCTAGAAGCCAAGAGGAACATACGTGCCAAATTTCAAGATTGTAGGCTTTATGGTTCTGGAGATTTTGTGATTCCTGCGTGAGTGTTTTCACATTTATATATATAGATAAAAGGAAAGTGGTATTTTCTGAAAGCATTTATGAGACATATTGTCAGCAGTAAAATCTGAACAGCATGGTAGCCTAGAGGTAAAGACTCTTGCTTCCCACTCTGAGGGTTGAGAGTTTTGTCCTAGGCAATGGCAAATGCACAAAGAGAAACTACCTGTTGCAAACACTGTACGCTCCGCTCATTCAGTCACCCTGATTCTACCCCAAATAATGGGATTACAAAGTCATAAAAAAATTGTAAGCAGTGAAATTTGATTATATTGTTCTCTGGCTTCTGTATTATAGGCCAATTGTTTGAAATCTTCCTGATTAACAAATTTCACTGACCATAGTTTGTCAGAATTTTCTGATATAGATTTTTGTGGATCTACAGCAGTTATTATTTGATTTCTAGAAGTAAACTCTTTACTTTCTCCCAAGACTTTTGAAGATAACATCAGGAAAAACCGGACTGTTATCAGTAATTGGATCAAATACGCACAATGGGAAGAAAGCCTCAAAGAAGTACAAAGGTAATTCTTGACAACCATTTTTAAAATTCTGAATATGAATATCTAATAATGCTCACTTCCAAGGGAATTGAATTGGATATGCATTAATTTCAGTAATGTGTTGTTTTCAGGGCTCGTTCCATCTACGAGCGGGCTCTAGATGTAGACTACCGAAACGTAACTCTTTGGCTGAAATATGCCGAAATGGAAATGAAGAATCGTCAGGTTAATCATGCGCGAAATATCTGGGATCGTGCTATCACTATTTTACCAAGAGTTAATCAGTTCTGGTAAGCTAAACACTTTCATTAGATTTAAGTGTGTGTGTGAGAGAGGGAGAGAGGGGGGGGGGGAGAGAATAAATGTTTTGCAGATTGCTGAAAAAAGATTGAAGCATTGATTATGACGCTATTGTTATTTGCTGGTTTTCCTCCAGAGACTCAAATTGATTTTCATAAGATTCACTCTAGTTTTACCTCTGTAACAAGATTGTGAAATAAAATGGATTGAAGAACAGTGATTGACCCATAATCACAGTCACCTTCTGTGGCTGAAAGCAGATTTGAGTGGTCCTAGTTCGACTTTATAACTGTAAGACCTCTTGTCATACACTTGATGACCAATTTTCATGTGGCAATTCCAGTTTTGGAATCCATTACTATAGGCTTAGTACGCTAAGGACCAAATATGCAAACACTCCAGATCCAAGCTGAATATGAGGTTGCTTTTTTAAAAAGTTTACTTATTTCTGAAGAATTGTTTTTACTATCTGCAAATAGGTCTGTGATTTATGACTCTAAATGACACAATCTTCCTTTTTTATTTTAAAAGGTACAAGTATACTTACATGGAAGAGATGCTGGGGAACGTTGCTGGGGCCCGCCAAGTGTTTGAGCGTTGGATGGAATGGCAGCCAGAGGAACAGTCATGGCATTCCTACATTAACTTTGAGCTAAGATATAAGGAAGTGGATAGAGCACGTTCAATTTATGAGAGATATATCCTTTTAAGTTAAGGTTTGGTCTTATACTAAACATTTCAATGAAATACATCCGATTTCAAGTTCCTTAATGTCTTTTACTTGTCATGGTCCATCCCGATGTTAAGAATTGGATCAAATATGCTCGTTTTGAAGAAAAACACAGTTATTTTGCACATGCAAGAAAAGTATTTGAAAGAGCTGTGGAATTCTTTGGAGAAGAACATATGAATGAACATTTGTATGTTGCATTTGCCAAATTTGAAGAGAACCAGAAAGAGGTAACATTTTGTTTATTAGCTTGCATTTTATAAGCAGCATTATGGCTGAAACTATTTTTGTTTAATTTTCCATTTATGTTTGTATATAATTTTAAAATGCCCCGTATTTGAATCTCTCTGCGTGGTTTACAATAAAACACATTATAAACATAATATACAAGCTTATATTCTTATAGCAAAACATTCTGTTCTGCTATATCTTGGGTGTAAGCTATCTTTATGAATTGTCCCTTTGCCTTCTCACATGATCTCAACAGAGATCTATTCTCTCTGCTATGCATGTGGATTCTCTTAGAGAGGGAAATTACTTCTGAGTGACTGAGTATGTACTTCTGGAATATCAGGAGCCAAGTAAGCAGGAGAAAGTGAGATCATTCTTCTCTGGGGGGACAAGAGGGTGATGGAAGAGACCGGTTAGAGGTGATAAGAGGCTTGTCAGCCACCTAATGCTGATCTTTATTCTGATGTCTTAATGAGCAGTTTTATTTCATTTAGTCTCTAAAGTGTTTAACACTGCAGTTGATTTTTTTTAAAGCTAACTGAATTAAGCCTATTTAATTAAATATTAACCCCAAATTCTCTTGACTTAAACTAAGATACCCAGTTTTGACTATAATATCAAACTTCTCAATATTTTTATATTTCTATCATAGATGTGATCTATAATACAAATTATGTATCATGTAAACAATGATATAAACAACATTGGCCCATCCCCCCAAAGTTATGTTTTTGTCGGGTTTCATTTTTTTTTAATATAAAACTTTATTCTGATGTATACTAATATAAAACTATCCTGGCCTATTATTCATTTGTATAATACTCTTCAAGTTTTCAAAAACATTTTTGTTTTAACTGAAAATCAAGAGTTACTGAATATACTAATAAAGATCAGGTTAATCCTCTATTTTAAAGTGCTCTTTTTTCCTCCTTTTTTTTCTTTCTTCTAGTTTGAACGGGTGCGAGTAATATACAAATATGCCCTGGACAGAATTCTAAAACATGAAGCACAGGAACTCTTCAAAAATTATACAATTTTTGAGAAGAAATTTGGGGACCGAAGGGGAATTGAGGATATTATTGTTAGCAAGAGGAGATTCCAATATGAAGAAGAAGTAAAAGTGAGTGCCTGAATTCTAGGGGAAGTGTACATTTCAATGGGAGTCCCCTTGACTGCTTTTGCCCTATAAATATGGAGAGTAAGTGTGGCATAATTGTAATAGTGTTAAACTACAGCCAGAATACCTGGGTTCAAATTGCAACTCGTCACAGAAACTCACCTGCTTACTCTAGACTGGGGGAAGTCAACCTTATTATACCTACCACCCATTTTTGTATCTCTTTTAATAGTAAAATTTTCTAACCGCCCACCAGTTCCACAACAATGGTGATTTATAAAGTAGGGAAGTAACTTTACTTTATAAAATTTATAA